CTCAAAACAAACCCCTCAACATTGGAAAGGCTCAAATGCTAAAGAGCAAAGATGCAGTTTTTAAAAACGAGTATAGTTGAAGCGTGTCTATTGTGAGGTGGAAGCTTATTTCAGCATTGTGGAGAGAATAACAGCTGAAGCCAGATCTTCACTTGCACCGGGTCATCGGTACAGACAGAAAATACTGATCTGATGCTTCTTAACGACTTACTGCTGGCATGTCAAAACTCGGTCCTGGAGGGCCGGTGTCCTGCAAATTTAGTTCCAACCCCAATCAGTCACACCTGGGCTAGCTAATCATGCTCTTACTAGGCTTTCTAAAAACGTTGGAGCTAAAATCTGCATTACTCCGGCCCTCCAGGACTGAGTTTGGACACCCCTGACTTACTGGGACCATATACATGTAGGAGATCTGATAAATAAGGATGTGCCAGACTGTTTAGTACTTATAAACAAACACAGCCAACCCAGAGCTGAAAGAAATAGGGATATGTATTCATGCTTTAGAGTTCAAGCACCAGGGGCTTTTTTAACCCTTCTATATTTTCAAGTAGTTGTGCATCAAATACTGTTAAAAAAACATGCATCAAGTCAACTTATTCAGCCTTCAGATGATGAATAGATCTCTATTTACAAAATTAGACATCAAAATTAATTGCTTGTTAAGTCTGACGTCCCACATGATGTGGATTCCAGGTCCAAGTGCTCTATCTGTCTATATGGGAAGGCTTAACAAATGGGACCAATAAACATCTATAGAGTGCTGTAATACTTTTATTGTTTTTCAATCATGATCGCAGTATATCCATACCTAATATGAGATGGCCAGAATGTGATAAGATTTAGGAGTTGTTAAAATATTGGTGTGTGTGGTGCAGCAAGTCTAGAGACTGTGGTGTACACCGTGATTTAGGTAGAGATTCACATTGGCACGGATGTCCAAACTCTGTCCTGGAGGGCCGATGTCCTGCAAAGTTTAGGTCCAACCCAATCAGACACACTCGAGCAAGATAATCAAGCTCTTAAGCTGCGGTCACACTGGACTCTTCTCCGTATAGACTTCCATTTATACGCACGCAAATGCATCAGACCGGAAACGCAATGTCATGCGTTAAGTTTCGCAGGTTGCTGCGGTGCGAAGTTTAAGCTTGGTGAACTCTGACCAGTGAAATCGCATCACTTGACTGCATGAGACGAGTCTAGGTTCAAAACATGAGCTCTGAAGAGGAATTCAAACATGGAGCAATCGCTCACATTTTGAATGTCTAATAATCTTGTTTAATCTTGCCCCTTTTCGCAGCGCTGCACGACAGAATTTCGGATAATCAAACTCTTAGTGTGACCGCAGCTTTACTAGGCTTTCTAGAAACATCTTTCCAGGTGTGTTGAGGCAAGTTGGAGCTAAAATCTGCAGGACACCGACCCTCCAGGACTGAGTGTGGACACCCCTGCTTTAAACGACCATTTTCTCAATTGAAGCAAGTAGCGGCCTGGACCCAGTAAAAGTACTTTATACATCACGATTTTACCGAAACTTACAGGTGTGTCAGATAAAGAGAAGACTCTTAGATTCAATTAATCAAAGACAATTTAGTGAGAAAAGGAAAGACACTCCAAGTACACACTGTTTCTTGAGGTCTCAGCTGTCTTACCAAAACTGGTACAATAGACATTCTTTCACTGGCAGCTTGCTAACACAGTTCATCTTTCATACAAGGGAATCATTTAAAGAATGAACACATTAAACACTGAATAACATCAGCTAACCGTTGTACCACCCAAGAGATCTTCATGGTAGATCCTAAGAATCTAGATTTGATTTACAGAGACCGAAACAAAAGACATTTCAGCTGAACACATTACTACATTAGGTTCTTTCACTGATCAAAATCATGTAAAAGATTAAATGATTCAATTAATATTAATTAAAATGAAGTCATGAGAATCTGTTTTGATCCCTGGATGAGTAATCCACTCCTTCAGTTCCTCATTTTGACCAACACGGAGTCCAATACTTCTCTTCTGGTCAACGAATGTGAGGCCGTTACAGAAAAGTGGAAGTGGAAGCGCACGCTCCAACAGCAACTTCTGCTATCTGGCGACACGTGCACCCGATGAGGCTAAAAGTCTTTCTAATCTTCATCAATGTTGTACATATAACTCACTACTATATCCAGTCTGTCTACATTCGTCATGTAATTCCATAACCCTTGGAAGTTTTGGCTCTATAACTTCACCCATAGCTCCAGTTCCTCTGGATCATCAGCAGAATAAAGTCCTCCTGAGCTCCACAGTTTCACAATGTTTATTTGCAACCACCCTTTTCATGAAAGCGAGTGCTGTTAATGAACAATTTCATAGCATCAGGCAGAGGCTCAGTGTCCAAAGGACTCCATACATCATCATCCAGGAGCTGTGCACAATTGTAGGCAGTTCCCATGGTTGAGGGAGTTTTTTTTCCATCCGTTCATTTTCTTTTCAGCTTAGTGCCTTTATTAAACAGGGGTTGCCACAGCAGAATGAACTGCCAACTTATCCAGCAAATGTTTTAGCGGCAGATGCCCTTTGAGCTGCAACCCATCACTGGGAAACAATTCCCCTATAGCACAGTGTGTTTGGACTGTGGGGGAAACTGGAGCACCCGGAGGAACCCATGCGAGCACGGGGAAAACATGCAAACTCCACACAGAAACGCCAACTTACTCAGCTGAGGCTCAAACTAGCGATCTTCCTGCTGTGTGGCGGTTGTCCTACCCACTGTGGCACCATGAGGCCCTTTCAGATTAAGGCAAATAATTATAGAACTGTTGTCCATGCAAATGTAGTCACTAATTTGTCTGATCAACCCTTGTGACCAGAGGAGGGAAGATGCGTTTAGCTCTGTGCTTGACGCACTTGGTTCATCGTCAGTTTAAAAGTTGTACTTCAGCTAAAGGAATAATAATAGGTTTAATATTTTAAATAAGTACAAGAAAGAAACGCTGGGAAGTTGTTTGCAGGATAGTTTCACACTCAATACCAACATCGAAAATCGACTGAATCTAAAAAAGGAAGTCAATGAATTAAGGATGATACATAGCCTAATGTAAATGTATTCAACAGATATGTCAGCCATCGGGAAGTAAATTCAACAGCGATGAAAAGGCTAAAAGCAAGGAAGGAACACAGGATTTAATTTGAAGATTGTATTTGGAGGGCTGTCTTTCTACACTCTCAGAAAAGATAGTACAAACCCTTGTCACTGGGGCAGTACCTTTTTGTGGAAAAGACTTGTACCTTTAAGATGAGGAAACTAATTTGTGGCATTGCAGTTTGTACCTTTTTAAGGACATGATTTGTACCATGGGAAACCCAAATGTACCTTTTTGGTTTTTAAAACCTCCAGATACAGTATTGTACCTTCATCAAAGCTACAAATCTGATCCATGAAGGTGCCACCAGTGACCAGACACTTTGTACCTCACCATCTTCAAATGTGTTCCTTCAGCAACTATTTAAAAGTGTTTTGCTTTATCCAAAATGCCTCAATTTATTTTCAGTAAATATAAAACATCAAATATATTTTTCAGTTTAAAAAAAAGTTTTGTTTTGTGTAAATACACATTTTCAAATTACAATAAAGAATAAAAAATACTTAAACATCAATTAAAATATCTATTTTTTTGCTAAACGTTTCAGAAAACTGTTACAGGAACACATTCTCCCATCTACAACACATTTTTCCACCAATGTTCACACTAATCTTTGTAATCACTTAAGTATTTAATTAACTGAATTTTGAAACTGAAATAAAATTATGCAATACCATTTTAAGGAGATATGCTCAATGTCTGATTAGTTTTACTATAGTAAACATCTGAATCAACACTTTGCATATGCAGGACTTTTGCCAGCTCACGTGTGTAGTGGAACGCAAACGCCAAAAGGTGCAGATATCAATAATGAAACTGTATTTATCAGAAAATGCTCACCAAATGTTTATTAAAAATGCCTTAATTTATTTTACCACTTAATGTAACATAGAACTTAAAGAAGTTTAAGCATACGCTTTTAAATGATTCATGTTTTATATGGAAATTTATCATGAATCATTTTACCTTTCCAGTCAAATTTATCGTCATAGATGTTGTAATAAAGGAGTTGTTCAACACTTTTGTACCTTTTTTTTAATGAGAACATTTGTGTACCATCTTATCACTTGTACCATAAAAGGTACAGAGCAGTATCATAAGAGGTCTTTTCTGTACCATATAAGGTACAACTTTTACAAAGGTACAAAACTGTTCCTTAAGGCACAATTGTTTCCACCATGTACCTTTTTTCTGAGTGTAGCTTGTAAAGATAGTAGTGGGGGTAGCCCAATGGTGTCCACACATGGTCCTGGAGAGTTTAGCTCCAACCCTATTCAAACACACCTGAACCAGCTAATCAAGCTCTTGCTAGATATACTACAAACTTCCAGGCAGGTGTGTTGAAGCAAGTTGGAGCTGAACTCAGCAGGACACCGGCCCTCCAGGACCGACTTTGGACACCCCCCGGTAGGCCTATGCAATTTCAGCTAATAAGGAGTTTACATGATGAATACACTTACTAATGAAGTGGACAAGGTGTCACTGGCCAACTCTGTTCCTTTCCTCTACTTTAATCTCTCATGTGAATATATATATATATATATATATATATATATATATATATATATATATATATATATATATCACTGCATTTTTAGCACATTTTAAGTTTAATACATCATTAATGACATTAAAAAACTTTGTATTATATTGTAATTTATTCCTGCTATAAATGGATTCTTCTCAAACATTACACAACTTCCATTTGGACAGAATCTTAGACGCTTTTATTAATAGTTATTAATATGCACCTCTGTTTAGATTATTTCAGCTAATCTGACACTTGCTTCATTTGTGCATCTTTGCGTTTGGTATAAAAGGCGCTTTTATTTTGACATTGCCTCGTGACGTCATCAAGTTGCACCGCGCTCCTGCGTCTGGTTGTTGATGTGCGCGTGCCCAAGCGTCCGCAGCTGTATCCCTTCTACACTTTGATTCGACTGAAGAAAGGTCTGTCATTCAACATTCAGGTGTTTACATAAATGAAACATTTTCCATTTTTATTGTACAGGAGATGAACACATGATTCATAGTCTTCGAATGCAACATTGTAGTAGCAGGTTAACAAACAAACAAACAAACAAACAAAACGCTCATCAGTGAATAGCAGAAGAGGTTCAAGCTCTTGACTACATTTATAAAGCCTTAAAACTAAACCATTTAAGCCTTGCTGGTGGAACTGAGTATTAATTCAGACTTTGTGTAAATAAATATCTCTAACATATATGTACAAACTGCTTTACTGTGGGGGAAATACAGCCTCTGTCTGTTTATTGTCCTCATATTTTTCCTGATATGACTGATGTAAATGTATGTGGTTCTGTTTGATGTCAGTGAAGGTAAAACTCAATTAAATTGAACTACCTGTGAAGTGAGAGTTTATCATGAACACAACACGGTGATGGAGAAACTGAGCTATTTAGAAATAAAGTAAAACATTTGCTGAAATGATAGTTAGGTTTGTCATGTTCTGACGCTAACTGCTTGCCGAACAGGTTAAATAAAGAAACACAAACATACGATAAACCTTTAAACCAATGGCATGTTTTCATGACAGTCTAAGTTTTATCTACAAGACAGTAAAGGCAGCACAAATGACTGATCATTTTATTAATACACAGCTTTTAAATGGTTTTGTCGGATCAGTAGATGTGATTCAGTGCACCGACTAGACTCAGACAGAGGTTTAGTTTGCATCTATTCTTCTTTGTTGATTCTTCTCTTAAACACACAGGGGAAAAACTCCCGCTGAAGTGACCGAGCGAGTATAAAGATGGCATTTATTAAAGAGGAGGGTGAAGCTGTGAAGACTGAAAAGACATTCAGAGTCAAGCATGAAGATCCTGAGGAGATAACAGGTTAGCTTTCATTCACTAAGCTCAACTCATCCTCATTCATTTGTAAAATAAATAAAATAATAGAGTGTGTTTTGGGTCAGTAAATACTTACTGGCATGAGAAATATATCCATAGAGCCCTTAAAGAAAAACTTCTCAAATATTTGTAATCCATAATCGATATAACACAAACGTGAGGGAAACACATTGATATAATGTAGAGTAGTCTGTAAAGTAGTCAAAGTAAAATAAAATGAGAGAATGTAAAGACAACTGTAGAAATTTAGCAGTAGAAAGGACTATTAAAATAATATTCAAGAGCCTAGCTAAAAAGGCACGTTAACATCTCTTAGGTGGACTCTCACGGAGAAAGCTCTGTCCCCTCTACGATTCAGTCTGGACTGAGGAACAGGAAGATTTTGATCATTTGATCTAAAAGATCTTACGGGAGTGTAAAAACGCAACAGCTCTGAGAGATAGGTTGAGGTGAGATTATTAAGGGATTTGTACACCAGTAAAAGCACATTAAAATCAATTCTGAATTGGACGGGCAGCCAATGGGGGACCCTTCGAAGAGGAGTAGTGTGGTCATATTTTCTGCCGTTACAGATAAATCTTAGCATTTTGCATTTTGGACCAACTGAAGGCGAGAAATTTGAGATTTTGAGATGCCACAGTAAAGTGCATTGCTGTAGTCTAATATTGCGTTCACACCAGATTCGGAAGAAAAGTCAAGCTCGAGTGATTTACATCAATGCAAAGACGCGAATAGACATCCTGCGTTGCGAATGAAGCAGAGCAAGCTGAGTGTTTTGCGTGATTGACTCGTGAAACGCTCTAGTTAGAAAATCTGAACTTTAACAGACATTCATGCCGCATTAACCAATCAGGAGCTTGCTCTTGTGGGGGCGTGATTATAACGTAGTGCCTGTTGTTGGGTGGAAAATCATCCTGCCCACACGCACGACAGTTCATCAAGCTGGGCTCGGCTCCGTCAGAAACAACGCTGAAAGTCTCCATTCAGGTTAAGTTTCTGAAGAAAGTTGAGCTCAGAGCTGATGCACCTCTGAATGGATCTAGTGGACTCAGACACGGCTCCAAACGAATTAATGCTGTTTATCAGCCTTCCTAAAGCACATAAACACTGTTATTTTCTCAATAAAATACATGTTAGCCATTTAGCAACGAAGCTACAGTTGCCGGGTAGACAGAAGCCCTGCCCGTTACGCAAATCCACGTCTATTGCTCTGTGAATTTGATGCGCGAATGAAGCGGATTTGATGCGCGAATTAGGCAAGAAAACTAAATTTTTATCATGCATCTATTTATGTGCGAATACCGTTATTTTTGTTTTTGTTTTTTATGCGCGTTCAGCGTCTGGTGAGAACACAGCATTAGAAAAGAGGTAGTGTAATGTTTTTTACTATTACAAATAAATCTCGCAGCACCATTTTGGACCAACTAACGATGAGAAATTTGAGATGCCACAGTAAAGTGCATTGCAGTAGTCTAATCATGACGTAATAAAAGCGTGGACAGCCATCTCTAGCGTGGTGGGATTTAATAACCGTTTGACTTGAGACAGCAAGCGGAGTTGATAAACTGATATGATATGTCTAGTTTCAATGACTCATCAAGGATGACACCCAGATTTCGCACTCAGGGGGGATCTGAAGGCAGATAAGCAGCCCAGATCTAGGCATGTGGCCTGAAGGTTATCAGTAGGGCTGAAGACACTCACCTCGGTTTTATCAGCAGTTGATGTTAAATTGTGGGATAGCCAGATTTTAACCTCAACTAAGCACCTTAGTAAAGTACTAAGAGCGAGAGGGTCATTCCTCTTAATAGACAAGTAAATCTGGGTGTTATCAGCATAGAAATGGAAAGACACCTCATGACTTTTTGGAAAGCCCCCTGGCAGAAGCATATATAATGAGAAAAGTGAGGGAGCTAAGACTGAGCCTTGAGGGAGGCCACAAGTGAGATCAGCAAATGAAGATGAGAAGTTACCTACAGTATTTTAACTGAAAATGTTCTATTAGATAGAAAAGACTTAAACCACTTTAGGACTGTGCTTTTCAAGCCCACGTCTGACTCTAATTCGGACAGCAGAATAGAGTGGTCAACAGTATCAAATGCTGCTGACAGATCTAGAAGAATCAGGACCACAGAAACGAGTCAGTGGCTAGAAGGATATCATTAAGTACTCTGAAAAGGTTTCAGTGCTATGAGCCATTTTGTACCAAGACAGGAAGATTTCAGTGATAGAGTTGGTATTTAAAAGTGTAGAAATTTTAAAAATCTAAAATCTTAGCGCAGAATGGCAAGACAGAAATTGGGTGAAAATTATTCAGAGTAGAGGGATCTAGTGAAGGCTGTTTTTGTCAAAAAGAACCACTCCAAAATTCCTGGTGCCACTGCGAGTTGATTATTGATGGGGTTCTTAGCTATGGTAAAATTTTAAATATGTTGGCGAGGCTGTTATTACATGCAGTTCTGTGTTGGAAAGGTTGAGTCAAAGATGATAGTAAGTCATCCAGCCTGACATGCTGATATTTGTCCAAGGATTGTTGGGTCATTTGGCTTGAATGAAAGGTACAGTTCAGTGTCATCAGCATAGCAGGGTAGGAAAACCCATGTTTCTAAATGACAGATGCAAGTGTGATGTCATGTTGCTGAGGAGAAGTGCTCCTAGGACAGAGCCCTGAGGCACCCCATTAGCAAGATTTTGTGGCTTGGACACTAAAACTCTCCTAGAGACCCTGAGAGATCTGTTTGAGAGACTACGAAAGAAGTTCCTGAGATGCCCATTGTCATGAAAGTTGCCAAGAGAATTTGGTGGTTAACCATTAGCAGCAGACAAATCCAGCAAGATTAGCACGGAGGATTTGGATGCAACTCTTGTGAATCTCAGAGTTTCTCCAACTGAGTGCAGGGCCATCTCAGTGGAGCGCCAACCTGATTTCACCAAGTAGGAGATGTTCCTGGATTAGCTTCTATGTTGATCCTGGAACAAAATTCCAATCAGAATTCAGGGATACGGTTACCAATTATGTTAAGTTTAGGCTTGCTTGTACACGATTGTTATGCAACTATTGTTCCCCTCTGATCTTGAGAATAATCTAGAGTTATGGTTCGGTCTGGTGGTAGGGAATAAGTATGGATGTTTCAAGATCGCATCATACTTGGCAAAATCGTGCCTCTGTGGAGTGTCTGTTTTTAAATGCAGACTGATTGGTGTGTAGAAGGTTGCAGAGACATGGTTGAAGAGAATGCATTTACGTGTTTTTGAAATGAATGACTAAAGGGATATTGGCCTTTATTCACAGTCTGTAAACTTACTTTGGCATACTGGAATATTGGCATCCCCTTTTGGCATTAGTCTTTCTACTATAGAAAGAACACTAGTAAACAATGCCAGCCAAGAGGGAACACTATGTAGATGGCTGTCATTTTCTTATATTTTAAAATATTTAAAAAATGTGATCGACAAGGTACTGTGAAAATGGTGCGCAGTCATTGCTTTTAGTTTGTGGGCAGCACTAGTTGCAATCTCCCTTTTTGGGGTGATAACACAGACTATACTTCCACCTGTAGGTATGGACCAATATCTTCTCATTCAGGTGCAGAACATACAATGCTATTTCAGTTGGTTGTTTGGTGTATTTAAGATTTGTTTCTTGACCCAGAACTGATACAACTGACATACAGGTGGCTAGGCCGTCTGTTTTCACCACCGCTAGTTCTTTTAACATTTACTTGGTGTATCCTAGCCTTTATGGATCGTTTAGAAGTCCCAAAAAGAAGATGCTAAACAGTTGCCTTTAGGTTGCAAATCTACTAAAAAGTAGAATAACACCTGTATTTCACTTTTACCCTAGATCTGATGCCTTGGAAAGAGGAGATTCAAGAAGCAAATGATGTCAAGCGAGAGAAAGATTTGACCGAAAAACAATTTATATCTGGTGAAGAATCTTTTCGATGTTCACCGACTCAAAAGTCATCACAGAATGGAGAGCCTAATGCAGTAGATGCAACATATTTCACCTGCCAACAGTGTGGGAAAGGTTTCACTACAAAACAAAAACTCGGAGTTCACATGAAAGTTCACACTGAAGAGAAATCTTTCACCTGCCAAGAGTGCGGGAAAAGCTTTAATCGGACAGGCAAGCTTAAGAACCACATGAGAGTTCACACTGGAGAAAAACCGTACACATGCCCTCAGTGTGGAAAAGCTTTTAAACACAAACTAACACTCAATGACCACATGAAGGTTCACACTGGAGAGAAACCCTTTGCTTGCCAAGATTGTGGGAAAAGCTTCATTAAGAAAGACCACCTTAACAGCCACATGAGAATCCACACGGGTGAGAGACCTTATATCTGCTCTCATTGTGGAAAGTGTTTTAAACATAAACCATCAATAAATGTCCACTTGAGAATTCACACTGGAAACAATCCACATGCATGCGATCAGTGTGGAAAGAGCTTCAGACGTAAGGAAGAACTTGAGCGCCACAGGAGGGTTCATTCAAAGGAGAGCTGCTTTATGTGCCGTCAGTGTGGGATGAGTTTCCCAGACGGCAGTCAGCTTAGAGATCATGTAAAAACTCACATCGGACAGAAGCTTTACATGTGCCTTGAGTGTGGGAGATCTTGCTCGACGAAAACAAACCTCACGGTTCACATGAAGGTTCACACTGGAGGGAAGATTTTCACATGTGGTCAGTGTGGAGAAAGCTTTGGACGCAAGACAAGCCTTAAACGCCACATGAGGGTTCACTCAACAGAGAACTGTTTTGTATGTCACCACTGTGGGATGAGTTTCCCGGACGGCAGTCAGCTTAAAGATCATGTAAGAACTCACATCGGACAGAAACCTTTCATGTGTCATGAGTGCGGAAGGTCTTGCTCAACAAAAACAAACCTCAAGGTTCACATGAGGAGTCACTCTGGAGAAAAGCCTTCGCCTGCTGACAGTGTGGAAAGAGTTGTAGTGAAAATGGAAGACTTAGAAGAGGAGTCACACTGGAAGGAAACCTTACAATTGTCTTCTGTGTGAAGAGTTTCGCATTAGACTGCACTAATATTGGGAATTTGGGCTCAAAATATACTTGAAAAGAAGGGGGTGATCTGGAACACTGGATATGCAGACAGTGCATCTGATTTGGGGATTATTTAAATGAGGATAAAACCGTGACCGAACGTTTAGCATTGTAGGTTGGTTTTCAGTGCCTACTGTGCTTGGGGGTTTCCCCAAAACATATAATCATTTCCTTTTCAATGATTGAGGGAAACTGATAGGCACAAGCACCTAGAATAAAGAAATTAAAGAAATGTGAAAATCTTCAATAGGTTTAGATGACACAGAAGTGTTTGAGTACAAACATGGTTTATCATTTGCCCTTCAAAACATGCCTAAAGTAATATGGTAAAGGGATGTTTCTCTGCCTTTTTAAGCTCTAATTTGACCAGACACCATTAGTGCCTAGCTTTCGAAGAATTTACCTAACATTATAGTCAATTCTGCTGCCTTCAGTGCCCTGCTGTATGTATGCAACACATGCACACAAATGTTAAAACAGCAAGAGTCTGTGTTGCATTTCTAAAAGATACCTCATGCACTTGGGTCTTTAAGAGAACTGAGAAATAAATTCCCATGGATGTCTTCAGATATAAGGTTATCATGCTATAACCTTCCCCCTCCTCTTTATTATGGGAAAGCAAAAAAAATCCTACATAGAAAACGTGCAAGGCAGATTACATCTTAAAACACCTTGACCATCTTAGCTTGCATGCCAGGGATTCCTGGGTTCTGGGATACCACAAGGCAACATCTGCACTTAGAACAAATAATAGGAGTGTTCACCTTTTGGTTTCCTTGCTTGCACAACACATATTTTCCTGGATGCTGTGGGATCACCAGCAAAACTTTCCGGGAGGCACATTTGGACTGGTGCACTATTTAGGGTGGCTGCAGGTGAAGTGATGAGCTCTGTGGGTTTAGAGATCATGTCGGAAATCAGCTGCAACTCTTGAGTTTTTGGGTGAAAGGGGCTTTTCTTTTCTTCTGAAAGTTTGAAAGAAAGACACTCACTGTTTTTGGAACAAGTGGAGGGTGGTTAAAATATAATGATTTAAAATTTTGGGTGAGCTATTCCTATAAGGCAAAGTACTCTGAATAATTATAAATCTAAGGCAATCTTCCAGGCTGTATCAGCAATGACTACAGATGGGTAGTGTTCACAGCGGTAACAGAAATAGTTGTATGAATACTGCCTGAGAGCACTAAAGTGGTGAAACGCTTCTCTCAAGGAGCCGTGTGGCACTGTAGTCCCAGAATGAGAGTGCGCAAGATCCTACCAAAAGAAATGTGATTCTGCAAAGAAAACAGAATGTGCCGTTAAACATATGATTTTATTTTATGTAAAACAGTTGTACTAACCAGTATACACATACTTGCCGAAAGGCCATTTGTGACAAGAGAAAGTGGGATGAAAAGAAAGACACTGCTGTTGCAATTATGGAATCCTGAATTGTAGTCCTGAAACTACATTTCTGCAGACTGGGCATGCATTGGCATAAACAAACATGTCAAAAATCCCATATACAGTTGCTTGTGTTGTAACAACAGAAGCATTGCTAAGGTCCGGAGGACATTGCCCTGGGCAGTATGGACAGGTTGTTTCTGTTGGCATAAAGATTTCTTGGACTTTCCTGATTCGGATATTTCAAGTGGACGGTCTTCTGGTATTCTTTGGCAATTCTACAAGTAATCAGTCATTGTGATCACACTACTCTGTGAACAGCCTAAGTGCTCATCCATGCCAACATTTCCATTGATGCACTACTCAATATCCTCTGGTGCATTTTTGGTCAAATAAGGATGCTCCTGAAAGAGCCGCCACATAGACCTGTATCTGTAGACACAGCTGACTCTGTTCTTTAAACCAATGCACTTGCAGGGCTGTTTACACAATTTATGTCAAATGTGGAAACTGTCCTTCCAAGCTTACTCCAGGAGTCCTTCTCCCCAGTGTACACAGATGACAAACCATATCTCTGACAGATTGTGTTTCCCCAGAAAAAGGGAAACACTGTTCACTTCACGTGAACAAGCATGTTGGTTTTCATACATTCCTCTTGCCTGGACTTAGAGATGAGTCCTTCTTCAACCAACTCCTTTACTGATTCCTCTTTTAGTGCTGCTGGTGGAATGTATGCGCTTGCTTGCTCTGTCCACTTTAAGTGGTGGCATTCTTTACCTGGGTTTCCACTTTCAGCAGCTATGGCCATAAAGTCTCTGCATTCTTCCACTTCACAAATCGCACAGCTGTGAGCTTAATGTCTTTTGTACATGGATTGGCAATCTGATACCATGGGAATGCTTTATTGAAATTTCTGGGGGGTCAATGCACAGCATTGGTTCTTGGCCGGCATGCTGCTCCTTTTTATGTCGTTTCAGGTTTGAGTTTGGGCTTAATGTCTTTCATTCATATTCTTCTGCTTTTCTGGGGATGGGTCGTGGAGGCAGCAGTCTCAGGAGAGAACCCCAGAACTTCCCTCTCTCCGAATACTTCCTCTTGGAGATTTCTGAGGAGTTCCCAGTCCAGCTGAGAGACAGAGACCCTCCAGGGTGTCCTGGGTCTTTCCTGAGGCCTCCTTCTGGTTGGACATGCCTGGAACACCTCCCTAAGTTGGCATCCAGGAGGCATCAAATACAGGTGGCTGAGCTACCTCAGCTGGCTTCTCCACAGAGGAACCTTGGTCCAGTGGGCAAACCTTCTTCCATGCCTTTTTCGAAAGTAAAAAACAATCTTATTTGATTGCCGCCAAGTCCGGCATGGCAATACTCACAAACATTGCTTGCCAAGATGGACTTTAAGGTAAGACAATGACATGGCATGAGCGATTACTTACGGCTATGCAGATGGATTGCTTAAGTCAGAGCTCTCCAAACGGTTCTGGAGGGCCGGTGTCCTGCAGGTTTTAGCTCCGATCTGCTTCAACACACCTGTAAGGATGTTTCTAGAATGGCTAGTAAGAGCTTGATTAGCTAGCCCAGGTGTGTCTGATTGGGGTTGAAACTAAACTTTGCAGGACACCGGCGCTCCAGGACTGAGTCTGGACATGCCTGGCTGAAGTTCTCAGTTTAGTCAATGCAATTAATTTTTGTTAGTGGCAAACTTCAAGAATGAAATGTCAAACTGAGATGTGCAGAACATCACAGTCAACATTCCCATCTATCTAGGGTTACCACTTTTAAGACCAAAAAAAAAACCACGGGGCGTATACTGCAGTGGGGGCCACATCCTTCGGGGGCCTAGACGACAGTGATCACAGGCCCAATAGCATGCCAGTGGTGTTAAATCACAACTTAAAATGTGTTTTTAGGAAAGTATAAACGCGTAGTCTTTCATTGAAATCTTTGTAAACAGAAGCAGTTAATCCCTTTTACAACTGGATAATTTTCTTTACATGAGCATTATGTTGTTTATTAATGTATTAAATGCAATGTTTCATGTAATAAATTATTGCTTTTGTGTCTGACTTAACCTTAACATACAAATCCTAATATTAAATTGGATTATGATCCACTTACATCGTATTAACAGAATTTGTACAAATTACAATTTGTGACCCAGTGTGTGAAAACCAGGCCAGAGATAAAGTTTGATTTTAGCTATTCATTTCCCTGTGATTTCAGTTGTTGACATAGTTTATTCGGTTCATATTAAATACATGTGTTTTAATTATTTTCAGACTGTCCTTTATTTCATGTATAATACAGAGCAAAACCTGTCCCATATTGATTCAAAACGGGACGGGTGGCAAACCTACAGCTATCTCAAACCGCCCAATTAGCTGTAGACACCACTCCCTGATTATAAGTGTGTTTACAGAACACAGAGCTTACAGAAATTGAAATGTAACTAGGTTATTATTTAATATGAATTGTTAGAATTCAACCAGCGGCATCTACAGGATTTTACTCCAAGATACGCACAAATTCCGCCCCGCCCTGCCCCCTTCCCCCAATCATGTCAAGAAACACTTACGGTCAAAGGCTACATTATTTAAGGGCATTTCTTACCACATAATTTGTTTTCTTTTTAAATTTTAATATTTCGTTGAAATCTAAATTAAATAAAAGCACATCAACACCAAGGAAAAAGTAGATGCAAGACGTAATTTTTAAAATAATGACATTAAAACATTTGCAAAAATGACAAAAGATAATAGATAGTGAAGCATTAATAAATCCTCACTTTGCACTGACCAGAAATCATCCACCCGCACAGCTGAGTAGGGGAAGTGCTCAAACAAAAATAGAATTTGTATATTTTTCTAGAAATATATATCTTTTTAAAACAAAGTTCGTATGTCTCTTTGTTTAAATATTTTTTTCTTGGTCCGTTATCTTCCAGATTAAATAGAAGAACGAATAACATTTGAGGCAAAGTGCTTCAAAACAAATCCGCCATGCTTCACTAATGCAGAATCACGAACTGGATTGTCGAATAAAATAATCTAGCCTAAATAACATTAAAGTGAAATATTGCGTTTCAGAGAGACCTACGTTTTCCCTGGTGTGCCGGTCAATTACAATTTAATTCATTTAATCAAATAATTTGAGCAGGACAGCCGTTTACAATATCCGCAACAGCACTGGACATGTTCCCTCATTACCTGGTGGAACAAACTCGGTTGGAAGAGTGATACAACTCAGAAACTGGTTGTGAGAATGGGGATGTCTGCTTATTTGTGCCGTTCTGCCAGATAACATTGTTTAAAACACCTTGAATGGTAGCTGTTCCATGCGAGGAGGCTGCGCAGCAGGTGAATCTGATCTGTCTGATGAAAGACCATTTCCCCGGCTCAGGTGCTGATAAGAGTGCGGTCTCCACCGTTTGGGGGATCAGTTTTTGTCTCATTAGTTTTAGGCCTTTTGGCAAATGTCCCAAATAAGTTAATCTGTTTTAAAGAGCGTTTGCTTATTTTGAGCCTTGTTTTAAACAATATTTATCTGAATTGTAATTTTTAGAGTGTGGAAAAACCGCCAGCAGAACTAAAGCCAAAAGATTTCTCCCACCATTCAAGCACATACACGCTTTAAAACACACAAACACACCTTTATTTATTCTTACTCTTTCTTGCTTTGTCGATATATCATAGTGTATAACGTTTAAAAATCTATTTAAATTATATAATAAATAAATAAAGCGGCATTAATTCCCGCCCTCTTATGGTGTGAATGCACAGTCCGTACGGCTGCAGGCGCCACTGAAGTACTTCATTAAAAATTGAAGTAACAAATAAGCTCATTTGTTCTGACACAGTGTAGAGGCAGGCCCGTAGCCAGGGGGGTCCAGGTGTTTCGAAATACCTAACCCTCACTGACAAAGGAATTTGTCTCATACATGAGCTCATTTGTCCAATTTTGACTGCTATGCCATCAGAATTGTAAAGAAATATATATTTAGTTATGAAAATAACCTACCGTATAAGGCTTTAAGACCAAGTGGAGTCCTGTGTTGGCTGTTGCTTCTGTCTGATTTTCCATTCTGAAGTGCTGAATTCAGCATCCTAAATTCTGAGGAAGGCTGAATGTGCTGGCCAGTTTGTTATTTGCCTACTAAATGACAGTAAGCCATGGTTTTTTAATTTAAAACTTTTGACAGATTCATTTTTTTTCTAATGTTAAATAATGTGATATATTTGTATTTTAAAAATAGTAATTTTTTTCATATTTCTTAATTAAATTTTTTAAGAAATGTTTTTGGTTCTGGTTATTAAAAATACTGTGCTTAAAATGTCAATAAAATGCAGTATCTAAACCTCATATTTAAATAGAAAATGAGGTGAATAACTGCAAAAAAAGGTCTACTTTTTGAGAAAAAAACCCGCCCCTTACTCGAGGCTGGCTCAGCCTGAGAGGGCATACTGAAAAACAGTAGATTAATTTCCAATACTTAAATAATATAGTGCAACCCCCTCAGCCCTCCTAACACCCCCCCCCCCTCTCTCTCTTTAATAACTAAAGTTTGATTAATGACATTTATTTTATCTTGATTACTGTTGAGTTGTGTGTGTTCAGCTGGTGTGTGCGGCATCTGTTCACTTAATAACAACTAATTTATCTCTACATAGGCAACAACTCGCACAAATAACCCTTTTTTTACTGCTGTTATTTTAAGTAAATGTGGATTTTGACAAATAAATATATATCAGACAGTTTACCAGTATTTTTAAAAACACACACACACACACACACACACACACACACACACGGTCTGTACAGTAAAATGATATGTCTGTTACCGTCCTGTATTATTTTTATTTTTATTTTTTTAACTCTGTCCTGTTAGTTGAAGTTAAAGGTTAGGTTTAACACCATAAACAAACCTTTCATCTAATCCTATTGAATAAATGGTTTCTCCACTCAATGATTACATAGATTTTTTTCTATTTGGACAGAATCTCAAACCCTTTCATTAGTGTTTCTCACCATTATTTGAAAGCCGACATCTGCTTTATTTGTGTGTAACGCACTTTTATTTTGACAGTCATGTGATGTCATCAGGCGGCGTCACGCTTCTTCGTCGGCTGTGCTGTGATTCATCAGAGAACGGTTTGTGTTTAGATAAACGGAGCAGCTTTTCTGTTGTTTTCAGGCGATATACAGAGGTTTTTATTATCATAGTTTACAATGTTGCACTAATCATTTTTCTGCCGTTTTATAAACGAAACGTGTTGCGAGTAGCGTTAAAGCTCGTTAATTATTAACAGAAGAGCTGCAACTCATGTCTCTCCGTGTGCTGTTTATAAGGTTCACCTTAGGAAATATTCACTGTTTCATGATGGTCTAATATGATTAATCCATTTTTACAGATCAGTAAACAGCATAGATGGCTGACAATTAAGTGTGTGTACAGTGTTGGAGTGTTTAATCTGTTCAGATCGTCACTGAGTGAGCTAGAGCAGTGATTGAGACACAGACAGAGGTTTAGTGTTGATTTCTTCTTGTTTGTTGATTCTTCTCCTCTTAAACAGACAGAGAAACTCCTGCTGAAGCGACTGAGCTCCACTATTATAAAGATGGCCTTTATTAAAGAGGAGAGTGAAGACCTGAAGATTGAGGAAACAGTCAGATATGAAGATGCTGAGCAACAAACAGGTTGGCTTTCATTCTCGAAGATTTTTCCTCAAAGGGCTTTTGTTGGACATAGGACAGACACTGTGTTTAAATCTACAAATACAACATTCAAAAGTGAAGAAGACAAAGTTGTTATAAATAAGCAAAACTCTTAAACCTTAAAAACATGAGAAATATATCCAGTGATTTAAACTTAAAGGGTTAGTTCACTCAAACATTGTGCATATCGTAGATGTGCTGACCCCATACTAGTTACAGGGCTCGAAATTGCGACAATTTTGGTGGCATATGCACCCGAAATTTTTATCTATGCGATCTCAAAATATATTTGGGAGCATTTCTGCGAGTGCTTAAAATTGTTGTGTGCGACCAGTTTTTACTGCAAAATGTTCAGCACATGCATGGATTCGGGAGATATTCACGCAGAATGCATCTCTAAGGTCTTTGTCTGCACTTTAAACGCGTAACACAGCGCTCAGGAATGGTTTTAAAAAGTTGTCATGTCGACTTGCTGCAGTAAACAAAGCCAAGTCAGTAATGCTTGCCCCGCCTTCGCGCTCTTCGTCTTGGCCCACCACTGCTCTAGCACTGAAATATCAGCTGTCAATCACTCAGTCAGCGCCTTTTGGCTTGGGAAGACAGAGAGAGCTGCTACTGCGAAAAACTGTAAGCACTGAAGAAGAGAATGAAGATAACCCTGACAGATTTAGTTTTAGAAACCATGACATCTAAAGTTACAAATAATGACACATCTTACTAGTGATCATGTGCTGAATGTTAATCCACCATCTACACTTTTAGAAGAGTGGATGAAAGACTTCAATTGGTTTCAAGTCCGTTATGAAAAGTCTGTGGTATGGAGTTTTCAGGTAACTGTTTGCCACATCTAGCACGAGACCTTCTGTTTAATCCTTCATATAATCACCAGATGCTGTCCGTTGTGCAAGAGGCAGCTATATGTCAAATTTAACACCACGTACACCATCGCAAACGGGCTTACACTGACTAAACTAACATCGCTAAGCATAAAAAGACTGGTATTGCTATTAACATGACGTATGCATATAATAAGGTACAGTATATGTCAAAAGCACCAGTGCAATATCAGACAGCACCCGTGAGATCAGCACAGTTATACCGTTAATAGATTCATTCATGTCCAGCAGTGTGTGCAGAGCCGGTGAGCGCTCCGTGTATCTTTTGTCACTCAGTTATGTTATAAAATGTATTTTCTTGTGAGAATGGGATTTCGTTGAGACATATTTTCCTCACGCTTGCATATATATATATATATATATATATATATATATATATTTTTTTTTTTTTTTTTTTTTGCTTGTTAGTTTGATTAGTGTTGATTTCAAATGCAATAAATATGTTTGTATAAAACTTGTAGTAACGCTGCTCATAATTGGTGGGTGCGACTAAATTTTGGCTGATGTGCCTACGTTTTTAAAGTTAGGAGCACCGGTGCTACCACGCACAGGTTAATTTCGAGCCCTGAGTTATCAGCTTTAATACTGCACATATTTATTGTTTTCACTGACTAAATTTACACTGTGTGTCCTGCAAAGTTTAGTTCCTATCCCAATCAGACACACCTGGGCTGTCTAATCAAGCTCTTACTAGGCTTTCTAGAAACATCCTTGCAGGTGTGTTGAGGCAAGTTGAAGCTAAAATCTGCAGGACTCCGGCCCTCCAGGCTATGAATGTGTGGCCTTAATAATATTATGGACCCTTTTCACAATACTGTTTAATGGTCCTCATAATCTTAAATCCTTGAAAGTTGTTAATATTTTGTATACATATATATATATATATATATATATATATATATATATATATATATATATATATATATATATATATATATATATATATATATATATATATATATATATATGTATACAACAGTCCTGTCTGGTTCTCAAATCTGATTGGCTGATAGCCGTGCGATATTCTGCAATATCAGAACTCCTACAGTGTGCTATATTTAATAGTGCTCAACATCTGCTCTAAAGTTTAATACTCTAAATTCACGTTTAAGATGTTAATCCACTTATTTCCACATTTTTTAAAATGTATAACTTGCTAATTTAAATGTAATGTTTAGTATTATTTTTAAATAGAGCAAGTTGCTAAAACATTTTAAAGTCAGCAGAAAAGCTAAAATTATGCAATTTATTACTTGTGGTTTAAGTGTGGCCCCCTTTGCTTCTGAACTTGAATAACCCGTTCTAGAATGCGTTTAGGAAAATATTTTTATTATATTTTATCAAGTCTGGATTGTCGACCTGAGTAAGTTATGATGTGCTCAAAAAAATAGGAATATACATAAACAAAACTTCAACACACTGAACCACTACAGCCTCCATTGTAGTATTGCTCGTTCACAGTACAGTTAACTCTTAGCCATGAACCGGCTGATGAATGACAACTCTTTAAAAGTTCTAAATCTTTAGATAAATTTATACTGTCCGCTGAAATGGTTATCACAGAAGAGCCGAGCATGGAAAAAAAACTGTAAATGTGATGATTGTGTACATATTTGTGTACACATATGGCTTGATGGAATACAGTGAGAGCAGACCACAGTGAACACTGTACTTGACAATGTAATCAATTGATTGAAGCATGTCAACTCAACTGACATTTCACAAAAATTAATCCAGAGCATGAATACTACAATTTAAAATGTTTTAAGTAAAATTGTTCATTTAACGGGGTTTATTTTTTTTGCGGGGCACCAAAACGATAATGATAAAGTTTATCTGCTGATAAAGTTTGAGAAGCAATGCACTACCTGAAAAAAAATGGTATCCTATCCAAGTTTTAGGAACAACAAATGACTTGACTTCTAGTTGGTCATTTGGTACCAGAAGTGTCTTATATTAAAGGCAAAGGCCTCTAGATTACGCTTATTTGATCAAAATAAAATATAATACCTCGATAATTAAACATTTATTAGGATAGTAAGGTCTGACTCTGCTTAGACAGAAGTCTTTTCACTGTCACTAGTATAGAATATAAAGTCCTGCTGCAGTGGAGACAGAATGAATATTGTGTCTGACTCCATCATGAGCTTGGAGGACTGCATCCATACATCTCTGACATGACTCAAATCATTGATTAATAAAGTCATCTGGAATGAAGAAGAAAGCCTTCAGCAGGACTCCCAGAGCTCATCAAGATTCTTTGGATTCATCTTCAACGCCTCCTCCTTCATCAGCTATATAATGTTCATGTCTGGTGACTGGGCTGGCCAATCCTGGAGCCGCTTGACCTTCTTTGCTTTCAGGAGCTTTGATGTGGAGGCTGAAGTATGAGACGGAGCGCTATCCTGCTGGAGAAGTTGCCGCTCAAATGTCTCGATACCTCAGGCTGTTGATGTTGCAGATCTCTCGCACGCCCCAATACTGAATGAACCCCAAACCATGCCTTTTCTTTCACCAAACTTGACTGATTTCTATGAGAATCTTGGCTCCTTGTGGGTTCCTGTAGGTCTTCTGCAGTATTGGTGATGATTGGCATACAGTTCAACAGATGATTCATCAGACAAATCCACCTTCTGACACTTTTTCACATAATCAACTAGAAGTCGAGTTATTATTTGTTGCGCTTACAACTGGCATCCACCACAAGACTTCATCAGGTAGTGTATAATTGCATTAAGATGGTCCATGTGAATGCACTCAGCGAGAAATCATAGTCCATCTGGGTAGACCAGTGCTTCCTAATTTCAATCCACCTTTATAGATGGTCTAAGAGACCCTTAATTTGTCAAATTCCTATTTGTGATTGCCTCTCTTTCCTATGTACAGTTCATATGACCCAGTCTAAAAGGAATAATACCTGCATTTGTTTTCTCCACCTTAGATCAGATGCATTTGAATGAGGATATTGAAGAACTGGATGATGTCAAGGAAGAGAAAGATCTAGAGGAGGAACAACACTCCACGTCTGGCAAAACCCCTTTAGGTTCTCAGACTGAAAGTACGTCACAGAAAACCGCCCAGAGTGGAAGAGCTGCAAGTTGTTTCATCTGCCAACAGTGTGGGAAAGGTTTCTCTACAAACAGAAAACTGAACATCCACATGCGAATCCACACCGGAGAGAAGCCGTTCGCCTGTCCACAGTGTGGAAAATGCTTCGCTGAGAAGGGCAACCTGAAAAGCCACATGATAACCCATGAGGACACTGGAGAAAGACCCCACACATGTGAGCTGTGTGGGAAAAGCTTCTCCAGAAAGAGATATCTTGATGTCCACATGATGATTCACACTGGGGAGAAACCTTGCCGATGCGAACAGTGCGGGAAAAGCTTCTCGATCAAGAAGTACCTCGATGTTCACATGAGAATTCACTCCGGGGAGAAACCGTACACCTGCCCCCAGTGTGAAATAAGCTTCATTCACAAAAACAGCCTGAAAAGGCACATGAGAATTCACACCGGGGAGAAACCTTTTGCGTGTCCGCAGTGTGGAAAGCAGTTTACGAGAACCACGAACCTTGAAGTTCACATGAGAGTTCACACTGGGGAGAAACCGTACGAATGTGAGCAGTGCGGAGACTCTTTTACTACACACAAAAAACTCGAAGTCCACATGAAAACTCACACCAGAGAGAAGCCTTATGATCAGCGTGAAGAAACATATGACAGTCATACCAGTAAGAAGCCTTACATTTGCCCTCAATGTGGGAAACACTTCAAACACAAGTCAACACTTACTCTCCACATGAGACTTCACACCGGAGAGAAGCCTTACACGTGTGAACAGTGTGGGAAAAGCTTTTCTCGGAAAGACTGCTTTGAAAGCCACAGGAGAATTCATATGGATGTGAAGCCTTACATTTGCCCTCAATGTGGGAAAGATTTTACCCTTATCAGGTCGTTTAATCTGCACATGAGAACTCACACCAGAGACAAGCTTTTCACGTGTGGTCAGTGTGGGAAAAGCTTTGTTCAGAAATGCAACCTTGACAGCCACATGATCATTCACACCGAAGAGCGGCCTTTTGTGTGCTGTCAGTGCGGAAAGTGCTTCAGAAGCAAATCAAACCTTAAGTCCCACATGAAGGTTCACTCAAAAGAGAGCCGTTATATGTGCCGCCAGTGCGGGACGAGTTTCCCGGACGGCGGTCAGCTTAGAGATCACGTTAAAACTCACATCGGAGAGAAGCCCTACATGTGCCTTGAGTGCGGAAGGTCTTGCACTAAGAAAACAAGCCTCAAGATTCACATGAGGATTCACAGCGGAGAGAAGCCGTTCACCTGCTTGGAGTGTGGGAAGTGTTTTTCTTGTAGCAAGGGCCTGAAGTTTCATTTACAAAGTCATTTTGGAATAAACCTTAAAATGGAACCAATTACGCACCATTCAACTTGAACTGATGTGTTTCCACAACCAGCAAACCACAGAGGTCACCAATCTCGGACCTGGATCGCTGGTGTGCCTGCAGAGTTTAGCTCCAACTTGCCTCAATACACCTGCCTGGATATTTCAAGTATACCTAGTAAGACCTTGTTTAACTGTGCTTGATTAGAGTTGGGGCTAAATTCTGCAAGACACCGGCCCTCCAGGAACAAGTTTGGTGACTCCTACTGGGAACCTTAAATGGATGTTGTCCATTTTTGGGATGTGGTGCTGGTCCGTACTTAATGCCTGCCAGAACCTGGTGGTTTTTAACTCTGGTCCTGTGGTCCCACCACACTGCATGTTTTTTGTGGCTGTCTTATGTGACATACAGCTCAGTCCATGCTTCTCTCTGATAATAAGCTGATGATCCATATCTAGTGTGATGGATTAAGGCAGGGGTGTCCAAACTTGGTCCTGGAGGACCGGTGTCCTGCAGATTTAGCTCCAACTTGCCTCAACATACTTGCAAGGATGTTTCTAGAAAGCCTAGTAAGAGCTTGATTAGCTAGCCCAGGTTTGTCTGATTGGTGTTGGAACTAAACTTTGCAAGGCATCAACCCTCCAGGACCAAGTTTGCACCCCTGGATTAAGGAGACAAGTGAAACATGCACAGCAGTGAGTCCCTAAGACAGGCATGTCCAAACTCAATCCTGGAGGGCCGATGTCCTGGAAAGTTTAGTTCCAACCCCAATCAGACACACTTGGGCTAGCTAATCAAACTCTTTACTAGGCTTTCTAGAAACAACTTTCATCAACACACCTGCAAGGTTGAAGCTAAAATCTACAGGACACCGGCCCTCAAGGACAGAGTTTGGACACCCCTGCCCTAAGATTAGAAAAACCACTGAATTTGATCTCAACAATTACACCAGGGGTGACCAACCTTGTTCCTGGAGATCTACCTTCCTGCAGAATTCAGTTGCAACCCATATCAAACACACCTGCCTGTATTATCAAGTGCTGTTCAGGTCCTAATTAATTGGTTCAGGTGTGTTTGATCAGGGTTAAAGCTGAACTCTGCAGGAACGTAAATCTTAGACTACACTTGGTTCCACTACAGGATTTCCTCAAACAAGAGTTCTGGAAGGCATCCAGCTTTCCCAAGTCTTTCTGCACCACTCTCCAACATTTGGAGCTGTATATAGTTGACTTTACATTGCTTTTATACAGTTTGATCTTTGTTACACTTTTGCTTAAGTTGTACAGTTTGGAATTTGTGACGGGGCTTGACATTGTGACCATTTTGGTCTCATATGTGGCCGATGTTAAATCCCAAAATATATTTGGGAGCATTATTGGGAGTGCATGTAATGGTTTTCATACGAGCTGCTTTTGTTTCTCTGAAACGAATGTGCCTTCGCTGTGCTGAAACAGTGACTGGTTAGTAATGCTTTGCAGATTTTATATATGTTGTAGGTAAATACTATGTTAATCTGAACATATGGTGAATGTAAACGCACCAGCCCAAAAATAAAGCAGTTTTTGGAAAGACTGTTTGAAAGACTGTGATTGGCTTGGCCATGAAACTATAAAGCCTGTGGGATGCACTGACCACTGATGTACATGTTTTATGTACAAGAGCTTGGTTAAACTGAGAGAATGCCAAACTAAAAATGCAGGAACATGTGCTTGGCAAAAAGTTTTCATGTTTACTATCACTTTTCTATAACCTTTCATTAAATTGGGATTCAATTAATTAAATGAGTCTGAGTCTGGGCCGGAGTCAAGCGAAGGTTCCCAAGATGTGCATTATCGTCATTTATCAATTGTCAGTGCCAACTAGACTTCCCGTTTAAGAGAATTTCTCTTCCATCTCTAGTGTGTTACCATCATCTGTGATGGGTGTATACACATTTGATGCACATAACTTGAGCTTTGGTAGGTGGACTTATATTAAGAACTGTATGTTTAGCAATGATGTTCAGCCTAGTTGTTTTCTCCTGCAGGTGGTTTTACTTGAGGAATTATACAGCAAGGCTGCACGTTGGTGCAGTGGGTAACACGATCGCCTCAGCAAGAAGGTCGCTGGTTTGAGCCTCAGCTGGGTCAGTTGGCATTTCTGAGTTTGCATGTTCTCCCCATGTTGGCGTGGGTTTCCTCCGGGTGCTCCAGTTTCCCCCACAAGTTCAAAGACGTGGTATAGCTGAATTGGGTAAGCTAAAATTGTAGTGCATGTGTGTGAATGAGTATGTATGGATGTTTCCCAGTGATGGGTTGCAGCTGGAAGGGCATCCGCTGCGTAAAACATATGCTGGATAAGTTGGTGGTTCATAATGCAAGAAAATGCATTATATAGCAAGGTTGTCCACAAAGTCTAGATCAGAGGTCACCAATCTTGGTCCTGGAGGGCTGGTGTCCCTGCAGAGTTTATCCTTAACACACTTGTTAAGAAGTTTTAAAGCTGCGTCCATACTATATAATATGCTAAAATCAGCATGTGAGCCGAGTAGAATGTCCAAATTCAGTATTCAGAAAACAATATGCGAGAATTACCCAGATGAGATACTAGTACTGCTGAAATTCTGAAGTGCGAATTGGATGGATAAGTGAGAGTGAAGAAATGCAACCAACCTGGGTAGGTCACATGATGGTGACAAAATGCTGGGTGTAGTACTTCCGAGTTCCATTATTATTATTATTACTGACATCCACAGTATAGAATGTACTTTTCTAACAGTGAGGCCATGATGGGAAATGGCTGATGGAGATAATTTGGCCAGGACACCGGGGCTACAGCCCTACTCTTTAGCAGAAGTGCCATGGGTCATTTTAATGACCACAGAGAGTCAGAACCTCAGTTTAACGTCTCATCCAAAAGGCAGTGCTGACTGAGCGTATAGTGCCCTCTTCACAATACTGGAGTGTTAGGACCCACACAAGCAGCAGGTTGAGCGCCCCCTGCTGGCCTTACTAACTCCACTTCCAACAGCAACTAAGCTTTGCCATGTGGTATCCCATCCAGGTACTGACCAGGGCCAGCCCTGCTTAGCTTCAGTGAGCAACCTGCTCTTGGACTGCAGGGTGAAATGCACTAAAGGCACTATACAGTAGGGGTTCTCAACTACCTTCACATTCTGTCTTTGTGGTATATGTTCGTCATAAAGTGATCTGTGCTCAAGTGATTACCACTTCAAATGTTTTTTATTTCGAATAAATAAATCAAACCTGCTCCGAATGTTTTTTTTTTTTATGACTGCCGAAAGTTTCGGAGGCAGTGTGTCAATGTGACTGACTCAACCTGATGTCAGTCAGCCAGATCGACTTCTGCTGGTGATGGATTTCCAGGATCATCAGGTTCTGTTCTGGGAGTTTCATCAAGATGTTTTCCCCAACAGGCACTGCTTGATGAACTTCATCTGAGGCCCCCCTGGTAAATGATATGGGTTTTATTTACTTGTACTGTTTATGAGATGTAATTATTTGCACATTGTTGTAAACGCACACGTTTAGCTAATTTCATCGACAATGCAATAGTTATGCTGCTTATTGTTATTGGTTGCTGCGCATAGATCAGATGGTGTTTGTAGAGTCCTGAAGTGTAAGCTGGCCAGGGAGCCCAGGGGGAAAAAGAAAAAGCATCTACTATGATGCTGTACGATGATGTTTTCTTTTAATATCTGTCATTCTTTTGTTAGACGTAATATTTTATTAAAATCATTATTTTAGACTTTTTATGAGTGTTTTCAAAACATACAAACACAAGTCGCTTGGTAAAATGACAAATTTTATATTGACTTATAAATTTGCAATATATTTGGAGTTTATGAAAATGACATGACATAAAAGTTCATATTTGGATTTCACAAATGTCAAAATATTGTAAAATATATATATATACTTGGACATTATATTTTACACACACACACACACACACACACACACACACACATAAGTGTATATATATATATATATATATATATATATATATATATATATATATATATATATATATACTTGAGCATAGATTGTATAATGATTTAGTCTATCATTTGCATATATTTTAATCTATCATATTTCTCTATGGGCACATTTCACATTGTAACATTAGACTTTTATATTTGGACAGAATCTTTTGTTAGTAGTTCTTATTTTTATATGAATATTTCAGAACTATTTAATAGCTGTCGCATGCTTTACTTGTTTATGTCAGTAAAAGGAACTTTTATTTTGAAATAATCGGACGGCGTTATCAGGCTGCGCCGCACTGTTGTGATTCCAGCAAAGAGAGGTCGGTTTTATACATTTACGTTAGAAGATGTCAGGCTCTTCGTATTTTCCAGGCGATATACAGATGTTTATTTGTCATTTGGTTTAATTTTGTTATTTTGTATCTACCATTAATAAACGTAATGTGTAGTGAATGAAGCTCATTAATTAATAGCAGAAGAGCTGCGTCTCATTTCTCTCCTGTTGTTCATAAGGTTCACATTAAAATTAACTTATGAGGAAATTAAGATTTTAGGCAGGAAATAATACTTTAGAAATGGGATAAAGATGTATTTATAATAGTGTAATGTTTCCAGGGCCTTTCTACAGATCATGAATATGTAACTAAAGATTGAGTGTCTGTACAATGTGGATCTTTTTTTGTTTTTAATTATTTATTTATTTTAGTAAATTAGGATGTAGATGCATTAACTGAGTGATTCTCTTCCAGGCTAGTGCACTAGAGAAGTGATTGAGACACAGACAGAGGTTTAGTGTTGATTTCTTCTTGTTTGTGTTGATTCTTCTCCTCTTAAACAGACAGAGAAACTCCTGCTGAAGCGACTGAGCTCCACTATTATAAAGATGGCCTTTATTAAAGAGGAGAGTGAAGACCTGAAGATTGAAGACACATTCACAGTCAAACATGAAGATGCTGAGCAACTACAACTGTCCTGTACAGGTTGGCTTTTATTCTCATAGCTCAACTCAGTCATTTGATCCTCATTCAGATCTGCAGATCTACGATAATGTAGGATATTGTTGAAGAATGTCATTTAAGAGTGTTAAATGTCTGGAAATTTTATGTTGCTTTTGTCCTAGTCATGGTTTATTCAGTATTTTTGTTTGTTATAGTCATCAAAATGTATTGATTTAATTTGATGGTGAAATCTCAGCTTTGAATCACAGAAGTAAACTGAATTTTCAAAAAGAAAACGGTTAAAGTTGTAATCATATTTCACAATTTAACCCCCTTTCCTATATTTGTGAGCAGAATTAGCTTCTTTCAAAACATGAGAAATGGTACTGTTTCCAAACTTCTGACTAGTAGTGTACACTCACCGGTCAATTTATTAGGTACACCTTACTAGTTGATATTTTGCCTTCAGAACTGCCTTAATCCTTCATGGCATAGATTCAACAAGCTAATGGAGATATTCCTCAGAGATTTCGCTCCATATTGGCATGATGGCCTCAACTGTTTATTTAGATGAGTCACCATTTATGATAAATGCTGTGTTTTCAAAGCAGTGTGGGGATCTTTCATGTCCTCATCCTTGTGCCTATTTCATAAAGGTATCCCCAGGCCGAACAGAACTTTGGCTTTGAAAACTGGCCATCAAACTCGCTTAAGAAAGCGTGGACCATCAAAACCTAAAACACCTCTAAAGGCTGATTTATACTTCTGCGTCAAATGCCGGCGTATGCTACGGCGCTGACGCATAGCCCTTCGCCGTCGGCGTCACTGACGTGCACCTCTCAAAAAATGTAACTACACGTCGCAACAATGCGTAGCGCAAGCTCTGTGATTGGTCAGCTTGGTAGCGCTGACGAGTCTGGGCAGGACTGAGAGCCGCGCGAATGGTGCGAGCTCGATGGAGTGATTGTTTACAAGTGTGGAGTCCCGTGAAGGAGCTCCAGATGGAAAGTTTTGTTTTGTGTTTACCTCATAGTTAAAGTTGTTGCTCGTCCGCCGGTTCCTGCCTCAAAATGAGCGAGTTTGAGCCACTTGTACATCCAGGAAGTGTTCAGGAAAACAAAACAGCAGAGAAGAAACTCGACACAGAGGAACATTTACACCTCACTGCCCACTAGCGTTTCAGAAGTGTTAATGCAGACCGACAGAGACAGCAGCAGAAGTATAAATGCACAGCTACGCAGAAGTATAAACCAGGCTTAATACATATAGGCCCAGTTTCACAAACAGGCCTCAGGTTAAGACAGGACTAGGCCTTAGTTAAGTTAGGCTATTTAATACACATTTATAAAAATGGCCTTAGAAAAATATTACTGGAGTGCACGTGGAGACAAATAAATGACAACTTATTTTGAGTTGAGACAGCTCAAACATGCAATTTAATCTTGACTTGGCTTAATCCATGTTTGTGAAACCGGGGGCTAATGTCTAAATCCCTGACTTGCCAGGAGGGCCCTCTTGTTCTCATGCTTTAACTTTACCGTCTCCTATTATCCAGCAATTTCACACCCCTTTCCGCTGCTTGGTCAGTCTTTAGTTGTCGTCAGTTTGGCTCAGTGAAGTAACACCACATTTATTACCTCAACGTTACTTTCCTCCTTAAACCCCCAGACTTACATGACCATAGATGACATCCAATCCTCAGTACCGCATCAGTCATTCCTGTGTGTCTTGTTTCAGTGATTTTGAGCCAATTTAAGTACGATTCTGACAAGATTGGAAGGAATCGTGATTAAATAGTGTCTACAACTTGAGAGACTGATCAGTTTGTGAAAGGAATTATATATTTTAGAACCAAGGATTCAACAGATAACCAAAAATAATGATAACTAGTCGTGGTGCTGTATAGATAATCCAAGAGGCATCTCAATTTAGGAATAATACCTGTATTTGTCTGTTCCCCCTTAGATCTTATGCCTGGGAAAAAGCAGATTCAAGATGTGAATGATGTCAAGGAAGAGAAAGATCTGGAGGAAGGGGGACAGTTGATATCTGGTCAAACAACGTCAGAGAATAGTGCTCAACAGACTGGACCTGTAAGCGGTTTCACCTGCAAAGAGTGTGGGAAAAGTCTGACTACGAAAAGAACGCTTAATGACCACATGCGGATTCACAACGGAGAGAAGCTTTTCAGATGTCAGCAGTGTGGAAAAGGATTCACTACAAAAAGAAATCTGGCGGTTCACACGAGGATTCACACAAGAGAGAAACCCTACATGTGTCCCCAGTGCGGGAATTGCTTCTCTACAAAAACGTCCCTTGAAGTTCCCATGAGAATACACACAGGGACGAAGCCTTATTTGTGTCAACAGTGTGGTAATAATTACACCACAAAACAAAACATTAAGGTTCACATGAGAACTCACACTGGGCGGAAACCTCACATCTGCCAAGAGTGTGGAGTAAGCTTTATTTACAAAACCAGTCTTGAAGAGCACATGAGAAATCACCCTCGATTGAAACCTTTCACTTGCCAACAGTGTGGGAACAGGTTTACTAGAAAAAGAAACCTTGAAGATCACATGATTACTCACACTGGGGAGAAACCCTTCACATGTGAACAGTGTGGAAAAGGTTTTACTACAAAAAGCAACCTTAAGGTTCACATGAGGATTCACACTGAAGAGAGGCCTTACACATGTGAACAGTGTGAGAGAAGCTTTACACGTAAGGACAGCTTGGAGAGCCACAGGAGAATGCATATGGCTGAGAAGTCTCACGCTTGCCCTCATTGTGAAATGTGTTTTGAACTTAAAACAACTCTGGTTGTCCACATGAAGGTTCACACTGGAGAGAAGCTCTTTAGATGTGGTCAGTGTGGGAAAAGCTTTGGACGTAACGCAACTCTGAAACGCCACATGCGGGTTCACTCAGCAGAGAGCCGTTTTATGTGCCGGCAGTGTGGCGTGAGCTTCCCGGACGGCAGTCAGCTTAAGGATCATGTCAGAACTCACCTCGGACAGAAACCCTACTTGTGCCTCGAGTGCGGGAGATCTTGCACAGAGATAACAAACCTCAAGGTTCACATGAGGAGTCACACTGGAGAGAGGCCTTTCACCTGCCAAGAGTGTGGACTGAGATTCGCGTATGGAAAAGCCCTGAAACGTCATCTGCAAACTCACTCTGGAAAAAAGCTTTAAAGTAAACTCTTTAGGCACAGTTACGATTTTTATTTAAACACTCATGGAGATAAATGTTATTAATGTAACCACACATGTGTAAATAAATGTTTTTTAAAGTAAAATTCACACTCCCAGGAGAGAACCCTGAGCTCTGAGATGATTGAGCCCAGGGCTCCCGCCTGGTCCATGAGCATGTAAGGGGGTACGAGATCAGGTAGTTCTCGAGAGCTGCCCCTGGTAGAGGAGGAAAGGGTGGAGACGGGGGGAATCTTCAAATAAAGATAAGAGAGTAATGCTGGATAGAATATTTATAGTGAGTTTAAAATAATCAGGGGCGAGGCAGTGGCGCAGTAGGTAGTGCTGTCGCCTCACAGCAAGAAGGTCACTGGTTCGAACCTCGGCTCAGTTGGTGTTTCTGTGTGGAGTTTGCATGTTCTCCCTGCGTTCGCGTGGGTTTCCTCCGGGTGCTCCGGTTTCCCCCACAGTCCAAACACATGTGGTACAGGGGAATTGGGTGGGCTAAATTGTCCGTAGTGTATGAATGTGTGTGTGGATGTTTCCCAGAGATGGGTTGCGGCTGGAAGGGCATCCGCTGCGTAAAAACTTGCTGGATAAGTTGGCGGTTCATTCCGCTGTGGCGACCCCAGATTAATAAAGGGACTAAGCCGACAAGAAAATGAATGATAAAATAATCTGATTGGTTTGCTAGTGATTACTGATGGGAGATCAGCCGCGATCAATCAAATCATGGGCTCCTCTCGAAATCAGTTTGTGAAACTTCACAAATTCCTGTAATGAGTTATGGATTGGTTTGTCATGTGTGGGATGAATGACTGTTGAAAACCTTTCTCTATATCATTTTAATCAGACATGTAAAATGTGTTACCAGTATAAACTTATACTCTAAACCACAGGTGGCGAATTCAGTTCCTGAAGGGCCACAGCTCTGCACAGTTTAGTTCCAACCCTAATTAAACACACCTGATCAGGCTTACTGAGTCTTTCAGGCTTGTTTGAAACCTACAGGTAAAGTAAAGGTCTGGTGAACTCTGACCTGCGAAATCGCATCACTTGAGTGCTCGAGGATCAAAACATGGCCTTTCTGTACAGGAGTTTAAAATATGGAGCAATCGCTCGCTTTTTTGAATATCTAATTATCTTGTTTAATCCCGCCCCTTTTCCCAGCGCCGTACGACAGAATTTCGCAAGCTCAAACTCTAGTGTGTTGAAGCAGGGTTGGAACTAAACTCTGCAGGGTTTGACACCCCTGCTCTAAACTACAGTATACCCTTAAGCCTCATAATGTGATGAGTCACACCCCCACACATACCTCATTGGTCCAGCACCATTAATTAGGCGGGATCACCAAATGGCCCAGTGACAGGAGTACACGATAAATCTCTGAGAAATAGATTTCCAGTACCTTGTTGAATCTCTTCCATGAAGGATTAAGGCAGTTCTGAAGGCAAAAGGGGGTTCAACCCGGAACAAGTAAAGGTGTACCTAATAAAGTGGCAGGTGAGTGTATATTGGTAAAGCTTTGTTTTATTTTTATACTATTTTAATGATGTCATCCTGTCATGGCTGTATGAAGTTTGAAGTGAATTACAAGTATAATAAACTATATAGGGGCACAAAAGTAATGTGGTCTTTGGGGCATTTAGAGCGGGTTTGTGTTGCTACAGTGTCCTATAGTACATCCACAATTACCCAAAGTGGTACCAGAGTAGCATGCTTGCTGAGCATTATTTAATATGCTTTGAAACTACAAATTTGAAACCAACACAAATAATATAACATTTAACTTGATTTATCCAACACCCCTGCAGTTCTTTATATGTCGCATGCATTTAGACGTGTATTTTACAATTATTTCCTATCTTTTTTGTTTGTATTATTTCATTTGTGTTTAGGGAACTTTTATTTTGGAATGGCCATCTGATGTCATCAGGCTGCGCCGTTCCTGCATCTGACGGGGTTCACTTGAAGAGAGAGGTTTGTTGTTTTAACATTTGTAGTGTTTAAATAAATGAAACATTTCAGGCTGTTTTATTGTTACAGGCGTTTGTACATTTGCTCACAGATCATTGGAGGCTACTTGGTACCATTCCCCCGCTAAAAAATCCAGCTTAAACCACCCTAGGCTAGTTGGCTGGTTTTAGCTGGTCGACCAGGCTGGTTTTAAAGGGGTTTTGGCCACTTCCAGGCTGGTTTCCAGCCATTTCCAGTCTGATCTTAGCTGGTCAGGCTGGAAAATGACCAGCTAAAACCAGCTTGACCAGCCTGGTTTAAGCTGGACATAGCTGGTTTTGGCTGGGCTCCCAGCCTGCTAGGCTGTTCAAGCTGGATTTAGCTGGTCATCTCCCAGCCTAACCAGCTAAGATCAGACTGGAAATGGCTGGAAACCAGCCTGGAAGTGGCCAAAACCCCTCTTAAACCAGCCTGGTTGACCAGCTAAAACCAGCCAACCAGCCTAGGCTGGTTTAAGCTGGATTTTTCAGCAGGGTCTTTATTCATGGCTGTGTTTTTGGGCAAAATTGTGAGTGAGTCTACTCCCTTGGATGAGAAGCAACCCCACACATGAATACTATTATAAAAACTTAAGCAGCAACTTTTCCAATTTCCAATATTTATGTTATTCTCAAAACTTTTGGCCACGACTGTACACCTTCATTTAACTATAAAAATCACATCAAAAAATATAATTCAGGATAATTTTCAGGGACCTTCCTGAACCCAGAGCTGTATATGCCATATATGCAGATTAGTGAAAGGGAATTTTCAGCTGTTTGTTTTTTTAAATATTTAATTTAAATGAATAGCAACTTGTATACATTTTTTTTTAAATTTAACAATATTACTTTTTAAATTTTTTTAAAGTAATGCGTTTTTTTCATTACTGTGAAAAGTAATATTGTCATGCAACTCACGCTATGTGTATACCCAAAACATATTGTGATTGTCACTTTAAGACAGTGGTCACCAAACTTGTTCCTGGAGCGCCGGTGTCCTGCAGATTTTACCTCCAACTCTAATCAAACACACCTGAACAAGCCAATCAAGAGCTTACTAGGTATACTTGAAACATTCAGGCTGGTGTGTTGAGGCAAGTTAGAGCTAAACTCTGCAGGGACACCGGCCCTCCAGGACCAGGATTGGTGACCCCTGCTTTAAGAAATCAGTTTTTGTTTTAGAAATGATAAAGGAAGCAACACATTTTGAGTATTAGTAGACTGTCTGCTTAATATCTGCTGATTCTGCTCCTTCAATAGACATTTAACAGACTACAAGAAACTTTGCAAGTACATGTCAACTTTTACTAACCCTTACCTAACAGTCTACTTATAATCTAATAAGAATTAGTTGGCGTGTTGATGCAATGCGACTTAATTCAGACCATCATAATAAAGTGTGACCTCATTTAATTTAATTTAATGTGATATTTGCTGATTTCGGTAGAAACGTTTTTTGTGTAATCATTTATTTAATTCAAGATTTGCTCAAATGTAAAGTCCACACTGACTGTGCTGGCTGCTTCATAAAAGAACTAAACATTTTTACATTTCTAAAGTAGCCTTATTATAAAAAATAAATAATAACAAAGAAGCAAAGAACTAAATGTAACTTTATATAAATCATTACTTTTATTCTTGCATTGTTTTCCAACTGCCTGCAAATAGAATATATTAAAACACTGCATATCGAATATGGCATTGATATAGTATTTAATCCATGCAAAATTAAATGACTTATGCAAGTTTCAACATATGTGGTCAGTCTCACTTTTGCTGATGTACTCGGGAAAATTTCTCAGACCTTATCATTTGTAGTGTGGTCTGAAAAGACCTTCGTTTGAAGCACTGTTTGGCAAGCAAACATGAATCAGGACACCACTGTCTAATGCGTAGAATAGGGATTGTGCCTTCATTTGCATTTCTTCATTGTGTTGATTCTTCTCCTCTTAGACAGACAGAAAAACTCCTGCTGAAGATGGCGTTTATTAAAGAGGAGAGTGAAGACCTGAAGATTGAAGAAACATTCAGAGTCAAACATGAAGATGCTGAGCAACTAACAGGTTGGCTTTCATTCTCAAAGATCTGCAGATCTACACTAATGCAGGAGGACTTTGAAGAAGTGTTGATGCAAAGATTTGAGGGTATGAGATCCAGGCATTCAACGCCTTGCGGTTTCAAATACAGTGCTTTTCTATAAACACAATGATGACTCAGCAAATGCAGTTACAGATATGCTAGTATTCCAAGATCTGAGCAATTTTAGGTCTGTCGAGCTGAGTTCAGAAGATAATCACTGGTCTGTCTTCATATCAATTGCCCATAGTTAATATGTATTTATTTGAACTAATAATAACCTATAACATAAATACACTCATTGTATTTATATTTAACAAAGTAATTACATATTTAATGTATTTCTGTATTTACATTTATAATTACACTGTTGACCCATTCTGTACACTAGAATCTGGAGAAGAATTGTCTAGCACAATAGTGAAGTGGACTGCTTCAGTGTTATTAAGGACATATTCTTAAATATCCTCAGAAATAATCACAACATTCGTAAAGTTAGCCCGCATGCTCTCCTCACAGCAAAAAGATTGCTGGTTCGACTTCCGGCAGGACCAGTAGTCCTTTCAGTGTGGAATTTGCATGTTCTCCCCATGTTAGTGTCGGTTTCCTCCGGGTGCTCTGTTTTACCACACACTCCATAGACATGCACTATAAGTGAATAGGATACATTTAAACGGCTGTAGTTTGTGAGAGTGTTTGTGGGTGTTTTCCAGCACTGAGGGTTGTACTTGTTGCAGGTCCACTGCGTAAAACAATTGTCAGAGTAACCGATGTGGTGATCCCTGATGGAGCAGGGAGTAAGTCGAAGGAAAGAGAGTGAGTGTTAGTAAAATCCCCAAACCAGGGAAACACACCTTGGGCTCTCCCAGCCAGCTTTAGGTAAGATGGTTGAAACCAATGTGCAAATTGGCAAAGCCAAAGGTAGCATTGACTTCTCCCATACATTTGAAGAGGTTATACCCATCAAGCCCCGAGAAATGTCATGTGGAGGACATCACATTACTAGTTCTGGAGGAATACACTGCTGGCCTAATACTAGGGCATCCATGGCTCATTTCCCAAAATCCCTCCATCTAGTGAAATCCTAAAGTGGGGTAAGGCTTGTTTCACTTAAAGTTTCCTTGATCTTCCAATGCCTGTCCAGTCTCAAATAGTTGAAGAATGCCTCCATCAACTTTTTCAAGAAGTGTCAGTGTAGCCTCGGAGTTACCACCACATTGACCATAAGACTGTGCCATTGACCTTCTGCTCAATAATCCAGTGTGGAGAGGAAATAGTCTCTCTCCATCCCCCAACAGAAGACCATGGATGAGTTAATCAGGGATGCTCTTAAATAACAACTGTCAAATAGAGGTATTCACTTCCCCCATTGCAAGAGCACTGGAACAGCTTTGTGGAGCCAGGATCTTCATTCCTCATGAGCCAGGAACCCATTCAGTCCTGGCCTAAACCCACCACCAATGAATGTTAACAATTCGTTGATTTCTTCGATTTATAAAGATGTTTTACAGCCAATACTGCTGCACTAACCGATCTTCTGAAAGGCAAGTCTCTATCGTAGATGGTTGAAGCTACCAAAGCCATGCAAACAGTCCAAAATGCCTTTCCATCTAGATTCATTAAAAGCCTTCATCATTAATGTTTACTCATTAACATCATGAGTTGGGCCCATAATGTCAAAGCAGTTGGGAAATCTTCTACGACTGCATCCATGTGCCTACCTCTTCAAGAAGTTGTCCCCCGCAGAACAGAACCATGACTTTGGGAGCAGAGTTACTGGCCATTAAACTCACCCTTGAAGAATGGAAGCACTGACTGGAGGTGGGCCATCATCTTTTCAATGTTTGGATAGACCATACCCAGAGTACCTCCAATACATTTCATGTCTAAATCCCAGACTAGCCAGGCAGCCACTCTTCTTCACATGATTAACTTTACTATCTCTTGTCTTTCAAGAGAATTACACCCCTCTCCACTGATTGGTCAACCAAACAGTCTTGTCGTCAGCTGTTTGTCACTTCAGCTCCATTAAATAACATCTGTCATCACATCAATTATTAAATCAATGTTTCATTCTCCATCAAACCACCATGCTCGACACGCTCCTCAAAACAGCTCAGAATTTCAATCAGTCATTTCTGCGCGTCTTGTTCCAGTGATCATCCGAGTCCATTTAAGTAAGATTCTGACAAGATTAGAAGCAATTGTAAACAAGTTATGTCTACCACCTGTAATATATATATATATATATACAGAATATCAATCAAAATATACATTTTAAAACCAAGGATTCGATAGATAGCCAAAAGAAAAGTTCATTTTTGAACTGGTTGTGATGCTGTATAGATAGTCCAGTCCAGGAGAATAATACCTGTATTTCTCTTTTCTAACCTTAGATCTTTTGCCTTGGAAAGAGGAGATTCCAGAACTGAATGATGTCAAGGAAGAGAAAGATCTGGATGAAGAAGGACATTTGATATCTGGTGTAAAAACTTCAGAAAATAGTGCTCAACAGACTGGACCTGTAAGTTGTTTCACCTGCAAAGAGTGTGGGAAAAGTCTGACTACGAAAAGAACGCTTAATGACCACATGCGGATTCACACCGGAGAGAAGCCTTGTCAATGTAAACAGTGTGGAAATCGCTACATTGATAAAAGCACCCTTAGAAGGCACATGATAACGCACACCGGAGAGAGACCTTTCACATGTCAACAGTGTGGAAAAGGTTTTACTAGAAAGAGCAACCTAGAGGTTCACACGAGAATTCACACCGGGCAGAAGGCTTTTACATGTCAACAGTGTGGACATGGATTCACTAGAAAAAGTAACCTAGAGGTTCACACGAGAATTCACACAGGAGAGAAACCCTTCATATGTCCCCAGTGCGGGAATTGCTTCTCTAGAAAAATGCTCCTTGAAGTTCACATGAGAATTCACACTGGGAAGAAGCCGTACGCATGTCAACACTGTGGTAATAGTTTCACTAGAAAACAAAGCCTTGATGTTCACATGAGAACTCACAATGAGGAGAGACCTCACATCTGCCAAGAGTGTGGAGTAAGCTTTATTTACAAGAACAGTCTTGAAGAGCACATGAGAAATCACACTGGGGAGAAACCTTTCACTTGCCAACATTGCGGAAATGGGTTTACAAGAAAAAGAAACCTTGAAGACCACATGAGAATTCACAACGAGGAGAGACCTCACATCTGCCAAGAGTGTGGAGTAAGCTTTATTTACAAGAACAGTCTTACAGAGCACATGACAACTCACACTGGGGAGAAACCTTTCACCTGCCAACAGTGCGGAAACGGGTTTACTAGAAAAAGAAACCTTAAAGATCACATGATTACTCACACTGGTGAGAAACCCTTCACGTGTGAACAGTGTGGGAAAGGTTTTACTAAAAAAAGTAACCTTAAGGTTCACATGAGGGTTCACACTGAAGAGAGGCCTTACACATGTGAACAGTGTGGGAAAAGCTTTACACTTAAAGACAACTTGGAAAGCCACAGGAGAATTCATATGGCTGGGAAGTCTCACACTGCTTACACCTCAATCATTTGATCCTCATTCAGATCTGCAGAAACACACTCATGAAGGAGGATATTGAAGAATGGCATATGAGAGTTGATGCAAAGATTTGTTGGAATGAGATTCCAGATCCCAACAGTGTAGAAATAGTTTCACTGGGAAAGGCAGCCTTAATAGACACATAAAGATTCACAGTGAAGAGAAGCCGTACACCTGTAGCGAGTGCGGAAAGATATTCAACGTAAAAGGCAGCCTCAAACTTCATGTTAAGAGACATTGTAAAGGGTTTCGGTTCTAATATAGTCCTGGTGGCCATTTTGATTTGTTTTTAATTTTTGCAATTTAACCACTTCATTTAAGATTTAAAGGGGTGGTCCACTATGACATCATATTTGAAACTTAAGTTGATGTGTGATGTAGCTGTGTGAACATAAACTACATCTCTGAGTGTAAGATGCTCAAAGTTCAATGCAAAGGGAGACCTTGGCTTTTACAGCTCTAGCTTAACAAAGCTTACAGCAAACAAAGTTTGGGGACTACAAACTCAGCTAATGATTGGTTATAAAACTTGTTTTACATGCTGTCTCGGGAGAGAGTCCTGAGCTCATAAGATCCTCCAGCCCAGGGCTCCCTCCTGTTGCTCAGGTAGAACTCGAAACTCCCCTGCTGTAGTAGCTAATGAACAGATTAAGAGATAAATACTTACTAGGAGCATGTCTGTAGTGATGATTTGGATTAGTCAATTAACTTAAGTTGCATGTTTTTGGATGGTGGGAGGAAACCGGGGGAAACCCACATGAGCACGGAGAGAACGTGTAAACTCAGGACAGAAATGTCAAGTGGCTTGGTAAGGACTAGAACCAGTGATGTTCTTGCTGCGAGGCAACAGTGCTAACCACTGGGCCACCGTGCCACCTAACGAGAAAAGAGTAGGGGTGGAAGGGGGGTAAGAAACTGTGGTTATTTATAGTGAGTTAGGAATTTTCTGATTAGTGAATTGTGAATTGGCTGATGCAGGACCAGCTGTGATCAATCATGAGCATGTGATCCTCGTGAAATTAGTTTATAAATAAACTTCACTTATTGCTCAGCCTTAATATACATATTTACAACAACATATACACAGCAGTTCTGTCTGGTTCTTGAATCAGATTTTTGTTGGTAGTAAAATAGTACCGTGGTCCCTCATTATAACGCAGTTCACCTCTCGCGGTCTCAAAGTTTCGTGGATTTATTTTTGTGCAATTTGACATGCTTTTTGTTCTGCGTCCTGATTGGCTGTTGTCAATCAATCTCCGTGTCTCCTGTACAGTACAGAATGCGTTCAGCTTGCTAAGTTAACATAAATCTTCGATGGCTAGCAGTGTGAGTTCCCCTAAGGAAGGCTTGTCACTGTCCACAGCGTAAAGGGGGTCGCACGCCAGATGCACCACGCCATCCATTTTAAAACTGTAAACATAGGTTTATATCAGGGTACGCACACCAGCACCGAATGTCTGGCACCTGTCCCAGCTACGACTCAGGACACTGTTCATATTTCTGCTGAATAGTTTCATTTAAAATAACATGCGAATGTGCACATCCTGTATGTGTTACTTCCAACTGTCACATGCAAGGCGCATCCGAGGTTGCATGTCGACCCCCTTAAGGATGTAGTCCACTTCAGCTTATGGATCAGTGACTACAGGTAAAAGAACATTAAATTAACCTTTTGCGCCTGAAAAGAGGTTTTGATGTTCGGTTTCATTCGCAAATGCTGGACTTATTTTTCTAAAACAAGATAGAAAGGTGTGAAAATGTCAATGCCCGAAATGTTATAGTATCTATAATAAACATCTATAAATAATTGTAAAAAATAAAGTGGACTACTTCACGGATTTCGCCTATTGCGGGGTATTTTTACGTATGTAACTCCCGCGAATAACAAGGGTGTTTTATGTTGTGCAAAGCAATTCAAAAGCGATTATAGCCAGTAATACTAATGTGAAGCTGTATTTGTTTTGGGTTTTATACTTATGAATTTTTTCAAAATTACATGCTATAAATATTTTCTGAAACATATAAGCCCTGTTGTTGTTTTTTTTTTTTTTATTTATTAACAACTGAACTGAACAACTGACACTGTCTTTTGTTTATTATTGACTGCTTTTAAGTGAGTTCTGGGAGGGGCGTTTCTCCAGGATCTGGCAACCCATGCCACGCATCTACTAAATGAAAGTGAAAGCTGACGCTTTTTAAAGCAGATCAGATCTGTTATTCGCAGTGCAGAATATTTTGAATACTTTTATAGAAGCGTTTGCTACTGTGTGCAAAACCAGTAGGTATTATGGTATTCTGAATGAACGATGTATTTGACGTGTTTCTGGCTGACTGAATCTTCATGTCTGAACAATATCAGTGATTATGTATCCGAGTGAACAACAGCACTTTGCCTGTTCCTGCTGAACTAAAGACTCCCGAATTGCTGTATTTCATGACTGTTTACCAGCTTCCTCCAGAGAGGGCGTTGGCGATAGAACATTGCGTTCAGCTCTGTCATGGAGGACACACACACATCTGCAGAGCGGGATTTGTTTCAAGGATGCAGGTACTATGATTACTCAATTCAAGTGTATCTGTATATAAGCTTTTCATAATTAATTTTGTAATGCAGCTTTTTAAAGGGCGTGGTTGTTACATACATAATAAAAGTATAGTACTTTCTTCAAGCTTATACATTCATTCATTTTCTTTTTGGCTTAGTCCCTTTATTAATCCGGGGTCGCCACAGTGGAATGAACCTCCAACTTATCCAGCATATGTTTTTACGCAGCGGATGCCCTTCCAGCTGCAACCCATCTCTGGGAAACATCCATACACTACGGACAATTTAGCCTACCCAATTCACCTGTACCGCATGTCTTTGGACTCTGGGATAAACCGGAGCTCTCGGAGGAAACCCACACAAACACAGGGAGAACATGCAAACTCCACACAGAAATGGCAACTGACCCAGCCGAGGCTCAAACCAGTGACCTTCTTGCTGTGAGGCGACAGCGCTACCTACTGCGCCACTGCACCGCCCTCCAGCATATACATATTTAATCTAAAGTTTTATTTTGGCTAGAATAAAAGACGTTATTATTATTATTTTTATTTATTTAGCTTCACATGAGGGTTTGACTACATTCAACTGTTAAAAAAGTCATATTTATAGAAAAAAAAACAACAAAAAATGCCTGTTTAAAATCTGCTTAATTGATCAAAATGATCAATAAAGGTCCAATCTGTTGTGTTTTAGAGCTGTTCAGCTGGAAAGATCAGAAGAGTCCAGCTGTGTGTCTGTGAAGAGCGACGCGTCTCTGGATCGACCCATACAGTTTAAGGATGGAGATGCGCAGCCTGATCTCCAGTGTGTATACTGCATTCATTTTGAGACTAAGAGCATGTGATTATCACTGCTGTGGAAGTAGCACTGGACGATGTATCATTACAAGCAAAATTATTTGAAATCTTTTTAAAAAGAAGTTACGTGAAATTTGCCATTTGTGGGTTTTAACAATGTTTTAAGTGGTTTTCAGTCACGTCTTCATATTTACATGTTGTTTGAGAGTCCCTCTGCAAGCCTTTCATTTGCTGTGAAAGCTTTTCTCTTAGATTTTAGATAAATTTGTCATAAAATTTTTGAATTATAAAATCGATTAATCAATAATTTTAGCATTCATTTGAATCATAATAGGCATATGTGTGTTATGTCTGACATGACCCTTTGAGAGTCCAAGGAAGCAAAGCAAACCTGCCATATAATGGGGAGGCCAAGATAAACAAGTTAAATTGACAATGCAACTGGGATGCCTGGTGCAAACTGTAACACATATGAACCAAGGGTCATTATGTTTATAATTTTTAAGGCAGTGGCTCACAATCCCAGTCCTTATCCCCCACTGATCTGTGTAACCCCACCAGTCCTACACCGCCCAACCTGCTCCGAGCTGGGATCGAACTGGCGACCTTCCGCATGGGAGTCGGTTGCTCTAACGAGGAGGCTAAAGACCATGGCCTCTAGCGTCTGTCGCTAGAGTACCTTTAGAGGTCAGAGGCGTGAGGTTTACCTGCACAGCACACACTAGCTGGCCTCTGTTACACTCACCCCCCTAAACATCACTCCCATCCGGGTCACGGCACCAATGTAGCTACACCGCCCAACCCGCTCCGAGCTGGGATCGAACCGGCGACCTTCCGCATGGGAGTTGGTTGCTCTAACAAGGAGGCTAAAGACCATGACCTCTAGCGTCTGTCACTAGAGTACCTTTAGAGGTCAGAGGCGTGAGGTTTACCTGCACAGCACACACTAGCTGGCCTCTGTTACACTCACCCCCCTAAACATCACTCCCATCCGGGTCACGGCACCAATGTAGCTACACCGCCCAATCCGCTCCGAGCTGGGATCGAACCGGCGACCTTCCGCATGGGAGTTGGTTGCTCTAACAAGGAGGCTAAAGACCATGGCCTCTAGCGTCTGTTGCTAGAGTACCTTTAGAGGTCAGAGGAGTGAGGTTTACCTGCAAAGCACACACTAGCTGGCCTCCGTTACATCTGCATATTTAGCATGTGTAACACCTTATTCAGATAACAGCTCATACACTCATTTTGTGCTTCATTTCTATGAAATTAAACAAGTTTTATATAAATGTACTTTAAAGAAACTGATTTAAAGCAAGTAGATTTCTTAAATATAGTTATTTACAGCTTTATTCTCTTCTGTTTTAGTCGAGTTCATCAGAAGGGATCAGAAGCAGAGCTCAGCTGTGTGTCTATGAGGAGTGATGCTTCTATGACTCAGCCAATCCGTTTTAACAGTGGTGAAACACTACGGGATCTCAGGTATAACATTATATACCCGGGTACACATCATATGCCTGTATTTCAGCAAACAGCTCTAATTTAGTAAACACTCCTATTTAGGAACGTGTTGGTTTGGGAACCTGACAACCTATATAGTCATATACACTTATATTGGCCTGACATGAAAATTAACCTCCTTCCTGAAGTGTTGGAAGTCTTTAAAGTAGTGGTAGAATACAGATTATCACTGCTGAATTCAATGAAGAGCAGCTCCACTAATGCGCGGCTCCAACTACAGCCTTAACGAGGCAAGTCAGAGGCAACATAGGCAAGGAACCATTCATTCATTAATTTTCTTGTCGGCTTAGTCCCTTTATTAACCCGGGGTTGCCACAACTGAATGAACCGCCAACTTATCCAGCAAGTTTTTACGCAGCAGATGCCCTTCTAGCTGCAACCCATCTCTGGGAAACATATACACACTCATACACTACGGACAATTTAGCCCACTCTATTCACCTGTACCTCCGCGAAGGCAGGGAGAACATGCAAACTCCACACAGAAACGCCAACTAAGCTGAGGCTCGAACCAGTGACCCAATAACCTTTATGTGTAAGGCGACAGCACTACCTACTGCGCCACTGCTTCGCCCGGCAAGGAACCAAAACTTCCCTCATTGTTGGAAGTGAAGAACAAAAAGAGAGAAACCAGGTTCAGCTGGGGTGACCAGTTCTCTGGCCAAATATAAAGTGCAGAACTGTAATCCGGACATTGGAAGCTTGAGAAGAGTGTCCGTTATCAAGAAGGTGCGGGTCAGAGTAGGTCACTGGGAT